TTTAATTGTTAGAGAGTCTTAATGGTACTTATTTTATGCAGACAAAGACGTATCTGCGAGAGCATTATCAGCGAAATATCCTTTGAAATCCACTGAATCCTGGCTGTTTTCCGATATACAAATATCGCACACAGAGGTTACGGAACTGCAAATAAAGCTTCCTGACACCCTTGGCACCTGGGTAGTGAAGGGTTTTTCCTTGCACCCGGAAAAAGGATTGGGCGTCTTCCAAAGTAACGTTACACAAATCAGAACCATCAAGCCCTACTCGCTCTTCATTCATTTACCGTACTCAGTGAAACTAGGAGAAACGGTCAGAATTCCGGTTCTGATCGTCAACCATTTACCCGAAACGAAATTGAAAGTAGAGTTAGCACTGGACAACGGAGCTGATGGCCTTGAAGATTCCTTGGAATATCGTCAAACACAACTCATGGAAATCGATGAGTATGGAGCCAAAAGCGCGTTCTTCATTTTCTGCCCCAACTATACGGGAAACTTTATTCCTCTAGAATTTACAGCAACCTCTTCAGTTAAAAATACTACTGTTCATAAGTCGCTAATGGTTATTGAAGACAATGTAAGAGGCAGCACCGAATATAGAAATCGCGCCATCCTAGTGAACTTGAAGGACAACCAGGACTACAAAAGCACCTTCCAGGTTGACCTCCCAAATTCCAGACTGATCGAGTTTAGTTTATTCAGTGACCCTCTCGGTCCGATCCTTCAAAACTTGGGTATTTCAATACCGGATGGCACGGGCGAACTGGTCATGTCTAAAATGGTAGTTAACTTTTTGGTGTGGAGCCACCTTAATGGAACCAAAAAACTCGATGGAGCTTTGGACACTCGAATCAAAAATAATTTAAAAGAGGGCTATCAGAACATACTGAACTATTGTCACGACGATGGAAGCTTTAGCTACTTTGACCCCCCGAAAGCCAACGGTTCCATCTGGCTAACCTCTTACGTCCTGCGTTACTTAGGCGAAATTAGGGCTGTCATATATGTCGATCCTACAATTCTGAAAAAGGGATTCGCATTTTTGCTCAGCCGCCAGCATGAAGACGGAAGTTTCACGGAGGATTTCAAATACTTTTCAAGGTCCGGGAGCCCTCTTTTCTTTACATCCAGTGTCCTGTTGGCTCTTCAGAAACAAACCAGTCCCGAGAAGGAAGCCATAAGCAAAGCGGTGGCTTTTCTAAGATCTCAGCTCGACGAAACAGCCTTATCACTGGCCAAGTCAATGGCCATATATGCATTGCAAAAGTCGCAGGCCCCGGGATCTGATAAACTTGTGGCGCAACTTAGATCCGTGTCAAAGCAGGAAAATGACCAACTTTGGTGGGCAGAGGATGTGCAGAACGGAAGCCCTCAAGATGTGGAGATCACCTCATATGCCCTGCTCTCCCTCATGGATTCGGAAATGGATGTGCCAGAGTCAGCAATCAGCACCGTTCGATGGCTTTTGGCCCAGAGAAATATTTATGGAGAATTTGACTCCAGCCAGAAAACAGTTATTGGTCTTACAGCCTTGGTTGAGTTCGCTGAAAAATGTGGTTACAATCCAAGCGCTTGGGAAGTGAGCATCAGCAACGAAGACATATCCCAAAAATTCGTCCTAGGCAATCTGACCCAGTTGACCCAGTCGATTAACTTCCCGCCGGCCACCAAATTCCTGGAGGTTCAGGCAAAGGGAACTGGAGCAGCTCTCATCCAGATTAGCTATGGGTATGACTTCGAGGAGAAGCAGGCCAATCCAAGCTTCAGTATTCAGACTACGGTCAGACCCAGCAGTTTGTCATCGAAGATGGAGCTAGTCGTGTGCGTGGAGTTCCTGGAGAGGAGCACAAAGGCCTCCAATATGGCCGTTTTGGAGGTGTCCCTGCCCTCCGGATACAGATCGGATAGATCGAGCTTCAAGAAAATTCGTGAAGTCGAAGGAGTGGGGGTGAGTTAAGCACTTTTTAAAGATAATTGCCCCCAAATTATTCATTTTTTCCGCAGTCCGTGGATACCAAGAATGAAGACTCCGTGGTCATCGTCTACTTTGAAAGCCTGGCCAAGAATGAAAGCAAATGCATTCCCGTCGAGGCGTACAGAACACTTGAAGTGTTCAATCTTAAGCCTTCCAGTGTAGTTATCTATGATAATTATGGCCGGAAGGCAACCGAATATTATCAACTTAAATTGGAGCTCAGCGACATTAGAGGCACTTAAAGTCGCCGTTTTGAGTCCACAGGCTCATAAATCAAGCTATTTCATTTTAATCAACGTACCACGCTTCCTACAGCCCACATTTTTATGGTACTACTCGAAGTTAAATCCAATATACCATAATCACCTTCAATGTCAGATCGTAGATATGAATCTGCTGAGTCAGCAATAAATATTTGTAAACATTGCGCTAGCAAATTGGATCACAATGTGTATGGTTTATCAAAACCGCAGTGCCTAAGACGCGTGGAGGGTTTAGTCGCTTAGCGACTGGCGAAAGTTCAACCTGTCTGCCCAGACATTTGACCCACAGACATCAACAATGTTTCTGTATTTTCAAGTAGGTGGTAACTTTTATCTGGTACGTGCGATTTTGCATTTCGATAAGGCGCTGCTGACTTGCGATCCGACAGGAGCACTACATCACTATTATGTATATTATCAATAAGTGGAACCAGAGTGGGCCAGTACTCGAGTGACGAGAGTCTTATTAATATTAATAACAGCCCTATTAATAACCCCCTGGCTCATGACGTTTTCGGGGAATGGTTAAAGTGAGTGTGATCACATAGTCGAGCGCCCCTGAATGGTAATCCTCTTTTCCTCCGAAGTAAATCGGTGAATGAATGGATATCGATAAGGTCGATGAAGAAAATTAAGAAATGTCCCAAGGCTGAAGTTCTAACCTCCATAACCCAACTTATCTTAATTGGATTTTAAAATGCGTAATTCTCTAACAATCTGCATTTAAATTTAAAAATTCATTTTTTTTTTTAAATTTTTGTTGTATTGTTTTTTAAATTTAAGATGTAGAAATTCAAAAAAAATTAGAAATGTCCCAAGGCTGAAGTTCGAAACTCCATAACTTAACTTATCTTAATCGGATTTTGAAATGGAATACCTCTAAATTCAAATGCAGAAAAATTTTCAAATTTAATCGTTACTCCTAATGTAAAAACAAAGACACTAGTATAAAAAAGCTTCGTATGCAACCTGTTTATTACAAAATTGAATACTTGAGGCAGGACCAGCGCACCTAAGAATCACTATCTGAAAATATATTTTCCACGTCGCATGATAAATACTCTAACGACACATTAATTACATTACATTACATTAATTAATTAACGACACAGTAATTGATGAAATTAATCAGTTATTTTTTTATTCATTTATTCACCTATTACTATTTCTAATATGTATTTAAATAAAGGCAATGCAAAACTAGAGTTTTTTACATGGTGGCAATCGATTACAAATAATATAGATTGAAAGTCCATAAACTTCTAAAGTGAAGGGCATTTTTGGTCATATGTACAATACACGAACATACGTGTGCACACATATACTGATCGACTGTATCAGTGCCAATTTAGCATCCGGGAAAAATGTCAAACACCCCCAACCCGGAAAGCTGTTCTTTTTTAAGTTTTTCTATCCGAAAATCTGTCCTTTTTAGACAATGTTAGAATTTTAAAAATTTAATTTGAATTATTCCACATTTTTTTTGTTTGCACTATGTGGCATCTCTTTTAAGCAAAATGTTATCGATATTGTGTGTAATCGTATGAATATCGAACTCACTTTGTCAAATTGCCTAAAGAATACAAACAAAATAATATACAAAAGCAAACATTTTGTGATTTCTGCCAAAATGCCTAAAAAATTTCGCGATTTCTGGCTTGACCAGCCAGATTTTAAAAATTGGTTAACAAGGGACCAAAGTGATAAAAACAAATGCAAACTTGCAAATACTGCAAGTGCAGCATAAATGCAAAAATTGATTCGTGCTCACAGAAAGACCAAAAAGCAAAAAAAGTAAATAAAATAACCCTTTTTCCTGTTAAGTCCGATGAAGTGTGTCGCCAGGTAACCAGGAAACACCTATAAAATGCCCGAAAAGTATTTGAAACGCATTGGCACAATGGCAACGTATGAATCAAACGTTGAGGACGAATGCGTCGTGGACGAAACATTTAAAATATTAAATTAAAAGTTAACTAAATAAATAATAATCATAAAAAAAATCTGTCCTGTTTTATCATTCTTTTTTTTTAAATTTTCATCCTATTTTTTTTGTTTTTTTTTTCTCAATCTGTCCTTTTTTTCAGAAGAATATTGGCATCACTGCGCTGTATGCGTACAGAGCTTTCTCTCTGGCTCTTGAACAAATATTCGAGAGAGCCTGGAGCCAGCTCTAGAGCCAGCACAAAAAAATCGTGTGCAAAAAAATCGTATGTCGTTACGCATCTTATTACTCTAGTGTCTTTGGTAAAAGGGTATACTAGGATTCGTTGCAACGTATGTAACAGGCAGAAGGAAGCGTTTCCGACCATAAAACGTTTTCATTTTATATTATTTTTCCCCAATTTCTACCGATATTACAGAAAATGTTGAAATTTTTCGTTTGCACTTCCACTAGCTGAGTAACGGGTATCTGATAGTCGGGGAACTGGAACTATAACATTCTATATTGTTTTAATTTAATTTAATTAAAAACAAATACGCTAGAAAAGCGAAATTTATATAATATACCAGAGAAATGTATGACGTTTAGAATTGCAACAGGTGCAATCTTTGACAAAGCAGCTAGTACATATACGGCAAATTGGTATTGAACCCAGAAGAGTGCCTCAACTAGAAGAACAGGAATGACTGGTGACTTAGAATGGGAGGTGCAGTCCTTAGCCGGTGGGTTCACTGTCCATTTCAGTTAACCAGTCAAGGTTCTGCTGTGAGTGCAGCAGGAGGCACACAGTTCTGTTTTATCCCTGAAGAATATGATCTTCGATGCTTAAAATTCGATCATGAGTTCTCTTAATTGCCTTAAAGTGCTTGTTTGTGTATTTTGCTTGTGCTTGAATCATAATATACATGCAAGGGATGAGGGGTAAGTTTAAGACTATTTAATAAAATTAGAAAAACCTGTTTGGGAAAATTAGCTTTGTGATTTTGATTTATAAATGTCTCGGGTTATTAATGTCAGGAGCGTCATCGTCCGTCCGTTCTTCCATATTGGCTTCACTCATGATGATCTACACTACGCGATTGGTAAAGCTGTGCGCATTTAACGAGTCCACTTGCGTCTACTTTGGCTTCTCAACGATTAATGTGCAGTTTCATGCAGACTGCTTTTTGTCTTCTCAATTTTTGGCATTCCCTTTTCATTATGGTGCTTTCTCACTCTAACCAAGCAGCGCAAGTGGCCACGTTCAGCAACAGCTCTATCGGTCTCATTTTAGCAGAGTCCCGTTTATAGATAATTCATCTTTTCATCCTCACACATTGACAATAAATAGGAACACGCATAATAGCAGAAGGAACATGGAGAATAAGTAAATAGCGACTACGCGCATTTACTTTATATTCGCCTCGACAACTGTATAATTATAAATAAAAAAAATGATTAAAAATGGATGATTGCTGTTTGATACATTTTTTGTTGATTAAATTCAATAAACTAATATAATATGATATCAAATGATATAATATGATTCGAGATGCAAAAGATCTGATATAAACTTTTGTGACGAAAAATCATTTTGCACTTGATACCTAAAATTTACACAGAATTCAGAAGAGTGAGAAATAACTTATTTGTTCCTTGAAATTTGAAAAAATATAAATTTCACATGTTTAGTTAAGCAAACTAGAATAGTATATTGAAACATAATTTTCTACAATTAAAATGCTTGCCTAAGCTATGACATTATATTAGTTTTGTAAACTATGCTGTCATCTTTAATAAATAAATAACATAATTTTCTACACTTCTCCATTTAAATGTAGACTGTATAGCGTAGTGGCCCCCGGAACCATAATCCCTAATCGGGACTTCAAAGTAACCGTTGCCGTTTATCGCATCAAAGAACCAGTCACCATTAAACTGGCCATCTCAGGGAATTCGTATAATGATTCCCTGACCGTGGACCTACCCACAGACCGCGAAATGAAAGAGGTCGCCTTTAAGGTGCCTGACCTTTCCTCGGGTGACTACGCACTAACAGCTGAAGGAGTGTCAGGCCTGAAGTTTCAGAACTCCATTAGTCTTTACTTCCGTGACGATGCTCCAGTGGTTGTTTTACTAATTGACAAGGATGAGTATATCCCTGGAGACAAGATTAGCTATCGCGTTTTGTTACTAAATGAGCAACTTCGCCCAGATACTTATGCCAAAGATATGGTTATCTGCCTCTTGGATCCTAAAGGAAACAAGGTTGATAAGGCCACAAAAAGCAAGGTAGCTGACGGAATCTATTCTGGACAATTTCAGTTGTCCAAAAGGGCAGCTCTGGGGCAATGGGAGTTGAACCTCGAGGATACAGAGGGTACTGAATATGACTCACCAGCTAGTAAATTTTTTTACGTAAAGCCTGAGGGGCTGCCAAGGTTCTCCATTCAAATAGATGTTCCAAAGTTCGTCAGTATAAAGGAAAACGAGATGAAGATAGTGCTTAGAGTCAAGTGAGCGTGGAGTATGTATGTTTCCTTAAATACTTTATTATAATTTATATTTTCCAAGGCACTCGTACGGAAACCCCCTCAACGGAAGAGCTGAACTAAATATTAAGTTAAATACGGAAAAGCGCAAGAATAATCTTTATAATCGCACAATAACAGCCAATGGTGCTGTAGTCAAGGGTCTGGCGACCTTTCATGTTCTTCTGACGGACATTGCCAAACACATAGCTCCAATCCGGGCCCCTTATATAGCTACAATAAGTGCATCGGTGGAAGATAAAGATAGTGGAGAAAAAACCACTAAGCTTGCATCCGTTTTCTTGCTGCAAAATCGCTATATTATTACATGTGCAGATTATTCGTGCCGAAGGCCGTAGAAAGAAAAAGACCACAAGGTTCTTATAAAGATTACGAACTTAGATGGATCTCTGGTATCCGAAAGCAAGTCAGCGGTGAAGGTACAGTAAAAATGTGACAACAAATGAATATTAAATATAATTTTTTGATTCTATTTAAGCTTATTTACAGCGAAGGTACTATACAAAATAATAGCTACTTCAGAAAATTCAGAGAAGTGGACGAAAAGAAGCGCTTTGAGTTCGAAGGCCAATTGGATAAGCCGGGACATTACGTGTTCAAAGCAAACCTCTCTGATTTACAAAAAAAAAACGAATACTACGATATATCTGTGGAATATAAGGGCGAAGAATATCGAATCCAGCAAACAATCTCACAATCGATAGGCTTCATTATGGACGTGACAAATGCTTTTTTCACACCTCAGATAGATGTGGATTTCTTCCTTCAGATCCATGGACCCAAAGATGACAACGGTCTTCCAGCTGCTTTGGTTGTTGGCGATGAGTTCCGGGTGACTCTCAATTCCAACGAACCCATCAAATACTTTATATACAACATAGTGGCCCGTAGTCTTATACTGCACACCGAAAGAGTTGAGTTCGACGAGCCCAAGATGGTTTACAACTTCACCTTGAAGGCTACGCATCTCACTGCGCCCCATTTTTATATTTATGCCTACTATGTAGACGAACAGGGAGTCCTTCATCACACCAAGTCTAAATTCAAAGTTCTCATGAGTCTTTCCAACGAAATTAGTATATCTGCACCAAGCACAGGGTATCCTGAAGAAGAAGTCAAGCTAAGAATCAGAACAGAACCCAATTCCTTTGTCGGCATCTTGGCGGTCGATGAAAGGTTTTCAGGCAGGATAAGGATAGATGACAGAAAACAGGACGATATTGATTATCTGTTTTATGTCAATAAACTCTCAAATGCTTTGTCATTTGTCAAGCCCTCAACGAGCTTTCCCAGAAATCATGAAATAGAAATGAGCTCCTTAGAAGATCAGTTGAAGGACTTCTATTTGCACACCTACCACGATGTTCCTGGATCGCATCTTGGTCTTGTCACCATGACCAACGCCCAGATTAAGGAAAGGATCTTTCGATTCTTCGACAAGGGTAACTACATCTAGATATTTAATTGTTAGAGAGTCTTAATGGTACTTATTTTATGCAGACAAAGACGTATCTGCGAGAGCATTATCAGCGAAATATCCTTTGAAATCCACTGAATCCTGGCTGTTTTCCGATATACAAATATCGCACACAGAGGTTACGGAACTGCAAATAAAGCTTCCTGACACCCTTGGCACCTGGGTAGTGAAAAGTTTTTCCTTGCACCCGGAAAAAGGATTGGGCGTCTTCCAAAGTAACGTTACACAAATCAGAACCATCAATCCCTACTCGCTCTTCATTCATTTACCGTACTCAGTGAAACTAGGAGAAACGGTCAGAATTCCGGTTCTGATCGTCAACCATTTACCCGAAACGAAATTGAAAGTAGAGTTAGCACTGGACAACGGAGCTGATGGCCTTGAAGATTCCTTGGAATATCGTCAAACACAACTCATGGAAATCGATGAGTATGGAGCCAAAAGCGCGTTCTTCATTTTCTGCCCCAACTATACGGGAAACTTTATTCCTCTAGAATTTACAGCAACCTCTTCAGTTAAAAATACTACTGTTCATAAGTCGCTAATGGTTATTGAAGACAATGTAAGAGGCAGCACCGAATATAGAAATCGCGCCATCCTAGTGAACTTGAAGGACAACCAGGACTACAAAAGCACCTTCCAGGTTGACCTCCCAAATTCCAGACTGATCGAGTTTAGTTTATTCAGTGACCCTCTCGGTCCGATCCTTCAAAACTTGGGTATTTCAATACCGGATGGCACGGGCGAACTGGTCATGTCTAAAATGGTAGTTAACTTTTTGGTGTGGAGCCACCTTAATGGAACCAAAAAACTCGATGGAGCTTTGGACACTCGAATCAAAAATAATTTAAAAGAGGGCTATCAGAACATACTGAACTATTGTCACGACGATGGAAGCTTTAGCTACTTTGACCCCCCGAAAGCCAACGGTTCCATCTGGCTAACCTCTTACGTCCTGCGTTACTTAGGCGAAATTAGGGCTGTCATATATGTCGATCCTACAATTCTGAAAAAGGGATTCGCATTTTTGCTCAGCCGCCAGCATGAAGACGGAAGTTTCACGGAGGATTTCAAATACTTTTCAAGGTCCGGGAGCCCTCTTTTCTTTACATCCAGTGTCCTGTTGGCTCTTCAGAAACAAACCAGTCCCGAGAAGGAAGCCATAAGCAAAGCGGTGGCTTTTCTAAGATCTCAGCTCGACGAAACAGCCTTATCACTGGCCAAGTCAATGGCCATATATGCATTGCAAAAGTCGCAGGCCCCGGGATCTGATAAACTTGTGGCGCAACTTAGATCCGTGTCAAAGCAGGAAAATGACCAACTTTGGTGGGCAGAGGATGTGCAGAACGGAAGCCCTCAAGATGTGGAGATCACCTCATATGCCCTGCTCTCCCTCATGGATTCGGAAATGGATGTGCCAGAGTCAGCAATCAGCACCGTTCGATGGCTTTTGGCCCAGAGAAATATTTATGGAGAATTTGACTCCAGCCAGAAAACAGTTATTGGTCTTACAGCCTTGGTTGAGTTCGCTGAAAAATGTGGTTACAATCCAAGCGCTTGGGAAGTGAGCATCAGCAACGAAGACATATCCCAAAAATTCGTCCTAGGCAATCTGACCCAGTTGACCCAGTCGATTAACTTCCCGCCGGCCACCAAATTCCTGGAGGTTCAGGCAAAGGGAACTGGAGCAGCTCTCATCCAGATTAGCTATGGGTATGACTTCGAGGAGAAGCAGGCCAATCCAAGCTTCAGTATTCAGACTACGGTCAGACCCAGCAGTTTGTCATCGAAGATGGAGCTAGTCGTGTGCGTGGAGTTCCTGGAGAGGAGCACAAAGGCCTCCAATATGGCCGTTTTGGAGGTGTCCCTGCCCTCCGGATACAGATCGGATAGATCGAGCTTCAAGAAAATTCGTGAAGTCGAAGGAGTGGGGGTGAGTTAAGCACTTTTTAAAGATAATTGCCCCCAAATTATTCATTTTTTCCGCAGTCCGTGGATACCAAGAATGAAGACTCCGTGGTCATCGTCTACTTTGAAAGCCTGGCCAAGAATGAAAGCAAATGCATTCCCGTCGAGGCGTACAGAACACTTGAAGTGTTCAATCTTAAGCCTTCCAGTGTAGTTATCTATGATAATTATGGCCGGAAGGCAACCGAATATTATCAACTTAAATTGGAGCTCAGCGACATTAGAGGCACTTAAAGTCGCCGTTTTGAGTCCACAGGCTCATAAATCAAGCTATTTCATTTTAATCAACGTACCACGCTTCCTACAGCCCACATTTTTATGGTACTACTCGAAGTTAAATCCAATATACCATAATCACCTTCAATGTCAGATCGTAGATATGAATCTGCTGAGTCAGCAATAAATATTTGTAAACATTGCGCTAGCAAATTGGATCACAATGTGTATGGTTTATCAAAACCGCAGTGCCTAAGACGCGTGGAGGGTTTAGTCGCTTAGCGACTGGCGAAAGTTCAACCTGTCTGCCCAGACATTTGACCCACAGACATCAACAATGTTTCTGTATTTTCAAGTAGGTGGTAACTTTTATCTGGTACGTGCGATTTTGCATTTCGATAAGGCGCTGCTGACTTGCGATCCGACAGGAGCACTACATCACTATTATGTATATTATCAATAAGTGGAACCAGAGTGGGCCAGTACTCGAGTGACGAGAGTCTTATTAATATTAATAACAGCCCTATTAATAACCCCCTGGCTCATGACGTTTTCGGGGAATGGTTAAAGTGAGTGTGATCACATAGTCGAGCGCCCCTGAATGGTAATCCTCTTTTCCTCCGAAGTAAATCGGTGAATGAATGGATATCGATAAGGTCGATGAAGAAAATTAAGAAATGTCCCAAGGCTGAAGTTCTAACCTCCATAACCCAACTTATCTTAATTGGATTTTAAAATGCGTAATTCTCTAACAATCTGCATTTAAATTTAAAAATTCATTTTTTTTTTTAAATTTTTGTTGTATTGTTTTTTAAATTTAAGATGTAGAAATTCAAAAAAAATTAGAAATGTCCCAAGGCTGAAGTTCGAAACTCCATAACTTAACTTATCTTAATCGGATTTTGAAATGGAATACCTCTAAATTCAAATGCAGAAAAATTTTCAAATTTAATCGTTACTCCTAATGTAAAAACAAAGACACTAGTATAAAAAAGCTTCGTATGCAACCTGTTTATTACAAAATTGAATACTTGAGGCAGGACCAGCGCACCTAAGAATCACTATCTGAAAATATATTTTCCACGTCGCATGATAAATACTCTAACGACACATTAATTACATTACATTACATTAATTAATTAACGACACAGTAATTGATGAAATTAATCAGTTATTTTTTTATTCATTTATTCACCTATTACTATTTCTAATATGTATTTAAATAAAGGCAATGCAAAACTAGAGTTTTTTACATGGTGGCAATCGATTACAAATAATATAGATTGAAAGTCCATAAACTTCTAAAGTGAAGGGCATTTTTGGTCATATGTACAATACACGAACATACGTGTGCACACATATACTGATCGACTGTATCAGTGCCAATTTAGCATCCGGGAAAAATGTCAAACACCCCCAACCCGGAAAGCTGTTCTTTTTTAAGTTTTTCTATCCGAAAATCTGTCCTTTTTAGACAATGTTAGAATTTTAAAAATTTAATTTGAATTATTCCACATTTTTTTTGTTTGCACTATGTGGCATCTCTTTTAAGCAAAATGTTATCGATATTGTGTGTAATCGTATGAATATCGAACTCACTTTGTCAAATTGCCTAAAGAATACAAACAAAATAATATACAAAAGCAAACATTTTGTGATTTCTGCCAAAATGCCTAAAAAATTTCGCGATTTCTGGCTTGACCAGCCAGATTTTAAAAATTGGTTAACAAGGGACCAAAGTGATAAAAACAAATGCAAACTTGCAAATACTGCAAGTGCAGCATAAATGCAAAAATTGATTCGTGCTCACAGAAAGACCAAAAAGCAAAAAAAGTAAATAAAATAACCCTTTTGCCTGTTAAGTCCGATGAAGTGTGTCGCCAGGTAACCAGGAAACACCTATAAAATGCCCGAAAAGTATTTGAAACGCATTGGCACAATGGCAACGTATGAATCAAACGTTGAGGACGAATGCGTCGTGGACGAAACATTTAAAATATTAAATTAAAAGTTAACTAAATAAATAATAATCATAAAAAAAATCTGTCCTGTTTTATCATTCTTTTTTTTTAAATTTTCATCCTATTTTTTTTGTTTTTTTTTTCTCAATCTGTCCTTTTTTTCAGAAGAATATTGGCATCACTGCGCTGTATGCGTACAGAGCTTTCTCTCTGGCTCTTGAACAAATATTCGAGAGAGCCTGGAGCCAGCTCTAGAGCCAGCACACAAAAATCGTGTGCAAAAAAATCGTATGTCGTTACGCATCTTATTACTCTAGTGTCTTTGGTAAAAGGGTATACTAGGATTCGTTGCAACGTATGTAACAGGCAGAAGGAAGCGTTTCCGACCATAAAACGTTTTCATTTTATATTATTTTTCCCCAATTTCTACCGATATTACAGAAAATGTTGAAATTTTTCGTTTGCACTTCCACTAGCTGAGTAACGGGTATCTGATAGTCGGGGAACTGGAACTATAACATTCTATATTGTTTTAATTTAATTTAATTAAAAACAAATACGCTAGAAAAGCGAAATTTATATAATATACCAGAGAAATGTATGACGTTTAGAATTGCAACAGGTGCAATCTTTGACAAAGCAGCTAGTACATATACGGCAAATTGGTATTGAACCCAGAAGAGTGCCTCAACTAGAAGAACAGGAATGACTGGTGACTTAGAATGGGAGGTGCAGTCCTTAGCCGGTGGGTTCACTGTCCATTTCAGTTAACCAGTCAAGGTTCTGCTGTGAGTGCAGCAGGAGGCACATAGTTCTGTTTTATCCCTGAAGAATATGATCTTCGTTGCTTAAAATTCGATCATGAGTTCTCTTAATTGCCTTAAAGTGCTTGTTTGTGTATTTTGCTTGTGCTTGAATCATAATATACATGCAAGGGATGAGGGGTAAGTTTAAGACTATTTAATAAAATTAGAAAAACCTGTTTGGGAAAATTAGCTTTGTGATTTTGATTTATAAATGTCTCGGGTTATTAATGTCAGGAGCGTCATCGTCCGTCCGTTCTTCCATATTGGCTTCACTCATGATGATCTACACTACGCGATTGGTAAAGCTGTGCGCATTTAACGAGTCCACTTGCGTCTACTTTGGCTTCTCAACGATTAATGTGCAGTTTCATGCAGACTGCTTTTTGTCTTCTCAATTTTTGGCATTCACTTTTCATTATGGTGCTTTCTCACTCTAACCAAGCAGCGCAAGTGGCCACGTTCAGCAACAGCTCTATCGGTCTCATTTTAGCAGAGTCCCGTTTATAGATAATTCATCTTTTCATCCTCACACATTGACAATAAATAGGAACACGCATAATAGCAGAAGGAACATGGAGAATAAGTAAATAGCGACTACGCGCATTTACTTTATATTCGCCTCGACAACTGTATAATTATAAATAAAAAAAATGATTAAAAATGGATGATTGCTGTTTGATACATTTTTTGTTGATTAAATTCAATAAACTATCAATATCAAACAACCTTCGAGATGCAAAAGATCTGATATAAACTTTTGTGACGAAAAATCATTTTGCACTTGATACCTAAAATTTACACAGAATTCAGAAGAGTGAAAATAACTTATTTGTTCCTTGAAATTTGAAAAATATAAATTTCACATGTTTAGTTAAGCAAACTAGAATAGTATATTGAAACATAATTTTCTACAATTAAAATGCTTGCCTAAGCTATGACATTATATTAGTTTTGTAAACTATGCTGTCATCTTTAATAAATAAATAACATAATTTTCTACACTTCTCCATTTAAATTTAGACTGTATAGCGTAGTGGCCCCCGGAACCATAATCCCTAATCGGGACTTCAAAGTAACCGTTGCCGTTTATCGCATCAAAGAACCAGTCACCATTAAACTGGCCATCTCAGGGAATTCGTATAATGATTCCCTGACCGTGGACCTACCCACAGACCGCGAATTGAAAGAGGTCGCCTTTAAGGTGCCTGACCTTTCCTCGGGTGACTACGCACTGACAGCTGAAGGAGTGTCAGGCCTGAAGTTTCAGAACTCCATTAGTCTTTACTTCCGTGACGATGCTCCAGTGGTTGTTTTACTAATTGACAAGGATGAGTATATTCCTGGAGACAAGATTAGCTATCGCGTTTTGTTACTAAATGAGCAACTTCGCCCAGATACTTATGCCAAAGATATGGTTATCTGTCTCTTGGATCCTAAAGGAAACAAGGTTGATAAGGCCACAAAAAGCAAGGTAGCTGACGGAATCTATTCTGGACAATTTCAGTTGTCCAAAAGGGCAGCTCTGGGGCAATGGGAGTTGAACCTCGAGGATACAGAGGGTACTGAATATGACTCACGAGCTAGTAAATGTTTTTACGTAAAGCCTGAGGGGCTGCCAAGGTTCTCCATTCAAATAGATGTTCCAAAGTTCGTCAGTATAAAGGAAAACGAGATGAAGATAGTGCTTAGAGTCAAGTGAGCGTGGAGTATGTATGTTTCCTTAAATACTTTATTATAATTTATATTTTCCAAGGCACTCGTACGGAAACCCCCTCAACGGAAGAGCTGAACTAAATATTAAGTTAAATACGGAAAAGCGCAAGAATAATCCTTATAATCGCACAATAACAGCTAATGGTGCTGTAGTCAAGGGTCTGGCGACCTTTCATGTTCTTCTGACGGACATTGCCAAACACATAGCTCCAATCCGGGCCCCTTATATAGCTACAATAAGTGCATCGGTGGAAGATAAAGATAGTGGAGAAAAAACCACTAAGTTTGCATCCGTTTTCTTGCTGCAAAATCGCTATATTATTACATGTGCAGATTATTCGTGCCGAAGGCCGTGGAAAGAAAAAGACCACAAGGTTCTTATAAAGATTACGAACTTAGATGGATCTCTGGTATCCGAAAGCAAGTCAGCGGTGAAGGTACAGTAAAAATGTGACAACAAATGAATATTAAATATAATTTTTTGATTCTATTTAAGCTTATTTACAGCGAAGGTACTATACAAAATAATAGCTACTTCAGAAAATTCAGAGAAGTGGACGAAAAGAAGCGCTTTGAGTTCGAAGGCCAATTGGATAAGCCGGGACATTACGTGTTCAAAGCAAACCTCTCTGATTTACAAAAAAAAAACGAATACTACGATATATCTGTGGAATATAAGGGCGAAGAATATCGAATCCAGCAAACAATCTCACAATCGATAGGCTTCATTATGGACGTGACAAATGCTTTTTTCACACCTCAGATAGATGTGGATTTCTTCCTTCAGATCCATGGACCCAAAGATGACAACGGTCTTCCAGCTGCTTTGGTTGTTGGCGATGAGTTCCGAGTGACCCTCAATTCCAACGAACCCATCAAATTCTTTATATACAACATAGTGGCCCGTAGTCTCATACTGCACACCGAAAGAGTTGAGTTCGACGAGCCCAAGATGGTTTACAACTTCACGTTGAAGGCTACGCATCTCACTGCGCCCTATTTTTATATTTATGCCTACTATGTAGACGAACAGGGAGTCCTTCATCACACCAAGTCTGAATTCAAAGTTCTCATGAGTCTTTCCAACGAAATTAGTATATCTGCACCAAGCACAGGGTATCCTGAAGAAGAAGTCAAGCTAAGAATCAGAACAGAACCCAATTCCTTTGTCGGCATCTTGGCGGTCGATGAAAGGTTTTCAGGCAGGATAAGGATAGATGACAGAAAACAGGACGATATTGATTATCTGTTTTATGTCTATAAACTCTCAAATGTTTTCTCATTTATCAAGCCCTCAATGAGCTTTCCCAGAAAACATGAAATAGGAATGAGCTCCTTAGAAGAGCAATTGAAGAACGTCTATTTGCACACAAACCACGATGTTCCTGGATCGCATCTTGGTCTTGTCACCATGACCAACGCCCAGATTAAGGAAAGGATCTTTCGATTCTTCGACAAGGGTAACTACATCTAGATATTTAATTGTTAGAGAGTCTTAATGGTACTTATTTTATGCAGACAAAGACGTATCTGCGAGAGCATTATCAGCGAAATATCCTTTGAAATCCACTGAATCCTGGCTGTTTTCCGATATACAAATATCGCACACAGAGGTTACGGAACTGCAAATAAAACTTCCTGACACCCTGGGCACCTGGGTAGTTAAGGGTTTTTCCTTGCACCCGGAAAAAGGATTGGGCGTCTTCCAAAGTAACGTTACACAAATCAGAACCATCAAGCCCTACTCGCTCTTCATTCATTTGCCGTACTCAGTGAAACTAGGAGAAACGGTCAGAATTCCGGTTCTGGTCGTCAACCATTTACCCGAAACGAAATTGAAAGTAGAGTTAGCACTGGACAACGGAGCTAATGGCCTTGAAGATTCCTTGGAATATCGTCAAACACAACTCATGGAAATCGATGAGTATGGAGCCAAAAGCGCGTTCTTCATTTTCTGCCCCAACTATACGGGAAACTTTATTCCTCTAGAATTTACAGCAACCTCTTCAGTTAAAAATACTACTGTTCATAAGTCGCTAATGGTTATTGAAGACAATGTAAGAGGCAGCACCGAATATAGAAATCGCGCCATCCTAGTGAACTTGAAGGACAACCAGGACTACAAAAGCACCTTCCAGGTTGACCTCCCAAATTCCAGACTGATCGAGTTTAGTTTATTCAGTGACCCTCTCGGTCCGATCCTTCAAAACTTGGGTATTTCAATACCGGATGGCACGGGCGAACTGATCATGTCTAAAATGGTAGTTAACTTTTTGGTGTGGAGCCACCTTAATGGAACCAAAAAACTCGATGGAGCTTTGGACACTCGAATCAAGAATAATTTAAAAGAGGGCTATCAGAACATACTGAACTATTGTCACGACGATGGAAGCTTTAGCTACTTTGACCCCCCGAAAGCCAACGGTTCCATCTGGCTAACCTCTTACGTCCTGCGTTACTTAGGCGAAATTAAAGCTGTCATATATGTCGATCCTACAATTTTGAAAAAGGGATTCGCATTTTTGCTCAGCCGCCAGCATGAAGACGGAAGTTTCACGGAAGATTTCAAATACTTTTCAAGGTCCGGGAGCCCTCTTTTCTTTACATCCAGTGTCCTGTTGGCTCTTCAGAAACAAACCAGTCCCGAGAAGGAAGCCATAAGCAAAGCGGTGGCTTTTCTAAGATCTCAGCTCGACGAAACAGCCTTATCACTGGCCAAGTCAATGGCCATATATGCATTGCAAAAGTCGCAGGCCCCGGGATCTGATAAACTTGTGGCGCAACTTAGATCCGTGGCAAAGCAGGAAAATGACCAACTTTGGTGGGCAGAGGATGTGCAGAACGGAAGCCCTCAAGATGTGGAGATCACCTCATATGCCCTGCTCTCCCTCATGGATTCGGAAATGGATGTGCCAGAGTCAGCAATCAGCACCGTTCGATGGCTTTTGGCCCAGAGAAATATTTATGGAGAATTTGACTCCAGCCAGAAAACAGTTATTGGTCTTACAGCCTTGGTTGAGTTCGCTGAAAAATGTGGTTACAATCCAAGCGCTTGGGAAGTGAGCATCAGCAATGAAGACATATCCCAAAAATTCGTCCTAGGCAATCTGACCCAGTTGACCCAGTCGATTAACTTCCCGCCGGCCACCAAATTCCTGGAGGTTCAGGCAAAGGGAACTGGTGCAGCTCTCATCCAGATTAGCTATGGGTATGACTTCGAGGAGAAGCAGGCCAATCCAAGCTTCAGTATTCAGACTACGGTCAGACCCAGCAGTTTGTCATCGAAGATGGAGCTAGTCGTGTGCGTGGAGTTCCTGGAGAGGAGCACAAAGGCCTCCAATATGGCCGTTTTGGAGGTGTCCCTGCCCTCCGGATACAGATCGGATAGATCGAGCTTCAAGAAAATTCGTGATGTCGAAGGAGTGGGGGTGAGTTAAGCACTTTTTAAAGATAATTGCCCCCAAATTATTCATTTTTTCCGCAGTCCGTGGATACCAAGAATGAAGACTCCGTGGTCATCGTCTACTTTGAAAGCCTGGCCAAGAATGAAAGCAAATGCATTCCCGTCGAGGCGTACAGAACACTTGAAGTGACCAATCTTAAGCCTTCCAGTGTAGTTATCTATGATAATTATGGCCGGAAGGCAACCGAATATTATCAACTTAAATTGGAGCTCAGCGACATTAGAGGCACTTAAAGTCGCCGTTTTGAGTCCACAGGCTCATAAATCAAGCTATTTCATTTTAATCAACGTACCACGCTTCCTACAGCCCACATTTTTATGGTACTACTCGAAGTTAAATCCAATATACCATAATCACCTTCAATGTCAGATCGTAGATATGAATCTGCTGAGTCAGCAATAAATATTTGTAAACATTGCGCTAGCAAATTGGATCACAATGTGTATGGTTTATCAAAACCACAGTGCCTAAGACGCGTGGATGGCTTAGTCGCTTAGTGACTGGCGAAAGTTCAACCTGTCTGCCCAGACATTTGGCCCACAGACATCAACAATGTTTCTGTATTTTCAAGTAGGTGGTAACTTTTATCTGGTACGTGCGATTTTGCATTTCGATAAGGCGCTGCTGATTTGCGATCCGACAGGAGGACTACATCAGTATTATGTATATTATCAAAAGTGGAACCAGAGTGGGCCAGTACTCGAGTGACGAGAGTCTAATTAACATTAATAACACCCCTAAATTTAGCCCCTGGCTCATGACGTTTTCGGGGAATGGTCAACGTGAGTGCGATCGCATAGTCGAGCGCCCCTGAATGGTAATCCTCTTTACTTCGGTTCCGAAGTAAATCGGTGAATGAATGGATGTCGATAAGGTCGATTAGATCTTCTGGCCGACCATACTGCGAACGTGTACATGCAGCGCCGACCACTTAATAATATTGTGTAATCCCCTCTAAGTCTGCTGCATTAGAATGGGGCACCCAAAATGTTTCGCTGATAACCCGATAGCAAACAAATTGTATGCCAGTTTAATGAAAGTCAGAAAGCCACGGTGAAGGCAATAAAAACCACAGTTCCGCATAGTGCGTTGTAATAGCTAATGCACCGCGGATCGATAGTCAAAAGGCAGCTTTCATATAGAAGAATCCTTAAAGATCCTTTGAATTAAATTAGGAAAAATCCTTATAAAGGATGTACGCAATTAATTTCAGGAGATTTAAATAGGAATTAGAAAAAAGTTTTTTTTCAATTTCTACTTTTGCGAAATTAAACTACAGCCCTTGTGAATCTGAAATTACAGTGCTTGTGAAATTAAAATTACAAATTTTTTGAAATTGCAATTACAATTTCTGTGAAATAATTCCAAGGTAGCAAAACAATGGGCGATGAAAAGTCCAAGTCAACGTCAGTGCTGCAGCATATAGAATCGGCGCTATATGTGATCAACCAGCTGTGCATAGGATTCGTCACCATTTGGGTCAGCTGGACCTGTTTGCGACAGGACCTCTCGGGAATTCGCCTGCATGCCTGGCTGGTCACCTTCGGATTTGTGTTCCTAATGGCCGAGGGAATGATGTGCTTCTACGACGGCAGTTGGCTAACGGTGCGTTACTCCCGGAAGTACAAGACCGCCTTTCACGTGGTCCTTCAGATCCTGGGGGGCGGCATGGGCGTGGCCGGCTGTTTAATCCAACTAATACGTGACGATTGGGCCATCAGCGTCACGTTACATGCCCGCCTGGGCTTCGCCGCCTTCATCCTGTGCCTGATCTCTCTGCTGAGTGGACTTGTCGCCTTCCTGGCGAGATGCCTGAGCAGGACCATCTCACCCTTGGCCAACAAGACCTTCCACGTGGTCCTCAGCATTGCCGCCTTCGTGATCGCCATGATGGCGCAGTTTTACGGATACACGCAGACTCGAATTTTCAAGGGCCAAGGACAGGATTTCGTTGTTCTCATGCAGGTCGTCACTATGGTCCTAATGGTCCTAACCAGCATTGGCGCCATTAAGTCGCTCTACCAGAAATTTGGTAGCTTGACCAGTTAGAAACACTTGCGGTCTATCCTTCATCCTGTATATGGGGCATTTAAAGCTAAGTTAGACTATTTGTATTTATGTAATAAGTTATTATAATCATAAGGATACATCAAATAATTAAGAGAACAATAAAAAATGACTGCGAACTTTAAAATTTGTTGTATTTTGGTTTTTTCTTTCAAAAGTCCGGTAAAACAGTGTTTAAAATGTAGTTTAAGTAGTAATATACATATGTAAAAAAATAATTACATTACATAATTAAATATTTAGTTAGCGATATAAAAATTAAATATTTGGGACAATTTATTCAGTGCATGTAACACATTAACTGCAAAAGATAACTATGTATAACTCACTTGCAAAAGATAAATGATATGGAACCCCTCAGCAACATTTTAGGTATGCAACGTTTTTTTGAGGGGTAGCTCTTCCTCCAATTATAAAGCATTCTTTCTGTGTTTTTAATGTTATTGAAAAAGATAGTCATAATAAAAAGCTACGTACTTTAGGAATAAAGAACAAAGCACAAAATACAAAACGTAATATGTATATAAAGCACATATATAACACTATGTGGTCCTTTGCTTACTGAAATGTGGTCTGGCTTGTAATCAAATTTTGGATATTAAATGTGTCGATATGATTGATATCAATCATAAACAGTGCTAATGTACGAAGTACCAATATTTTCGCTATACTGTCATCACTGTTGCATTGCAATCAGCAACGTTTAGTGTTGATAAGTTCAAATTGACACGAATACCTATCGCATCAAAACTTTTCGCGCCATAGGAAATTTAAAAAAGGCATACGAGCGAAGGCCTAGTTGCGGTTTTGCTGCACTTTGATAGCTTCCCGAAGCGTAAAACGATATGAATAGGAATGAAAACTTAAATAATCTTGTGGTCAAGTCCAGTCAACTTGTAAATGACGCTGCAAGAATGGCTTCGCCAGTTGCTCATAAACATTCGACCAAATGATTTGATTAACCAAGTTCATTGGGCGTATCGGTCGAATATTAAACCTTTAATTGCTGTCGTAGCTTGAGCACACGTCTGGCTTTGCCCAATAATAAATAATTTGCCGCAATTTGTCTGTGAAAAGTGGCAGGCAGTATTATCAGTCGACAATAGTATAAATGTTAACACGAAAATAACATTATTTCAGCGCACTGATAAAAGCCGGCAAGCAAAAAACTGAAAACTGGAACTACAATGTCCGAGAGTGAGAAGCCTGTGCTTAGTAGAACTCAGACATCAGTCGACTACGGCAGCACGATCCGGACGGAATCTCTACGCCGACCCACATTTATTCCGATCGAATCTCCCCGTCGCTATTCGAAAATGACCCACGGTTCCCTGTCCGGTCACGAGGCCCAGAACCGCCTCCAGAGATTGGAGTACTTCCTCAACGTTCTGAACCAGATGTGCATTGGATTCGTCACCATCTACATTTCCTACCTGACGCTGCGAACAGGGCTGTCTGGCACGGGTCTGCATGCCTGGCTGGTTACCATCGGGGTAAATAGTTTGCGATTATCACCTTCTAAGCGGCCACTGAAGATCATCCAACACCACAGTTCTCCTTCTTCATGGCCGAGGGCGTTATGATCCACTACGGCGGCAATGTGCTGACAAATGGATACAAGCGCCAAACGAAGACCACCATACACTGGGTGCTTCTGACATTGGGAGGCGGTTGCGGGGCAGCTGGTGCCCTTATCAAAATGATTCAAAAGGGGTTTTTGCTGCAATCGACACATGGAAGGCTGGGTGAGTCCAGCACAAAGACGCAGTGCCTGTTATAGATGCCAGCAGATGCTAGATTCAGAACTAAGTGATAGATCGTCGCATTCTTTTTCTTGTGTTTCTTTCATACAATATTTAAAAGTTCATAAGCTAAGCTATTAAAAGTTGTGTTTCCCTGTTTAAGCTACCATTTTGTTTGTTAGAATATCACACAACTATTATTTTAACACAACAGTTTTTTATCGTACGCCCCTACCAACTTTTTTAGTTCGACATAAGGCGAACTATTTTATCGCTTTTTTACTATCTTTTTAGAGGTAAATTTAATGATCTTTAGAGAATCTGATCTCGGTACTTAATATCGGCAACACCTTACACCTAAAGAGAACTGACTAATAGACTCGCTCTTCGCCCACAGGAATGACCGCCTTCATACTGTGCATTCTGGCCATGTCCTCGGGCTTGGCGGCACTTTTCTCCCCCCGCATCAAGAAGCTAATCACACCATTGCTGAACAAGACGTTCCACAATTTCCTGGGATTCGCGTGCTTCGTGATCGCACTGGTGACCCAGTATTACGGCTACCAGACGGGATACTTCAAGAGCCGTAGTGAGACAGATTTCCAAATCCTGATGAAGTGCCTCACCCTCATATCGTTGGTTCTGTCGAGCTACGGACCGATGAAAGCACTCTATGAGAAATGCAGAAATATATCCCAACAGTTTTAGATAGAAAAAGAATCACTCGAATGTATGTAGATAAATAAATATAATTTTTCTTAAAAAATCATTCTTTCGACCTATCCAGAAATTCCTAAAACGATTTACAACTGTCTACCTCATTTTAGGTATATTGTGTTTATGGCTCTCATGAACATGACTAACTATTTCAATGCCTCATTAGGGAAAACCCGGTGAGGTAGCGGTCTGAATTTTCCCGTCTGGTACTCCCCCATAAAAGTTTTAGAACCCCCTTTTGATTGACAGCTGATACGGCCCGAAAAAGTAATGAATCGACTATCAGATATACTGCAATTTGGTTTAATTAAAGGTGAACGACTCACTTATAAAGCCAGCACATTAATTAATCAATCAAAACGTTTAACTGATAATTTTAGTTATATAATTATTTAAGTTCCTTTTACATTTTGGCAAGCATGCATCATTTAAAAATCCAAGACCTACCCGGGTTTTTTATCTGATCGGTTTGTGACACATGGAGGCCGCATAATTGATAGTAACCGTTCTAAATAAGTTTAAACTTTTGAAACCCCGTGAAAAGAAGAGCTTGATTTCCGCTACTTTTAATTAAAAATCTCGTGTTTAGCATGGTGCAGTTTCTTATGTTTATTTTGAAAATCCATATCATTTCTTCTTAAATCTCTCGCAATAAATAATACTTGGCGCGTGTTTCGCGTTGTGTGTGTGATACGTATATCAGTTAGCAATAATAATAAATAGCTAGCGTTAGGTATTAAAATTCATAGTCAATTGGGTAATACAAGGCTTCCATTTTCGGGGTAACTTTCGGTAAAAAAAAGATCGGTATAGAAGATATGAAGATCTCTATATAGAATCGGGTAAACAGATCTTTAGGTATTATTAGCTATCGACTAAAGCCCAGTAAGGAATTGTGTATTGGGCAAGGCATATTCGAAATTCGGCTTCCTGTATAAGTCCATACTTCGCTCTGCTCACAGCTTGTTGCTGCGTCGAATGGCGAAGGACATCAGCGCGTGCTCCAGCCGCATGTGGTAGGGAAGCTTGCGCTCCAGAATGACTGGCTCCTGGCCATCTGGACAGCACCGGTTCCGGCAGCACTCGCACTGACTTTCATCATCGTCGTACTCCTGCTGCAGTTCCTGCTCCAGCTCGAAGGCCTTCTTGGCTGCTCGCTGTTCAAAGCGCAAATAGAAGGCCAGGCAGACAAACAGCATAAAGACCAGGGCACACATTGCTCCACTGGCAATGCTCGCCTTCTCCAGCATTGGACGCGGCCTCTTGGGCAGATAAGTATTGTCGATCTCCTTGTACTCGCACCGCTGGCCCATAAAACCAATCGCGCACTCGCAGCTGTAAACCGGTAGATCGGCAATCTTCACCGCGAAGCAATGGGCATCGTTCAGACAGTACCAGGCATCGAAGGTCTCAGGACATTTGTAAGTGGGGAATGTAATATTGGGCCTGGGCGTGGTCGTCGTGGTGGTGCGCATTGTGGTGCTACTTGTGACTGGAGCCTGGGTCGGCGGCAATGCCGTGCCGGACATGGATGAGGAGATCGAGGAGCGCGGCTTGGGCACCGTACGGCTGGAGCAGGCCTCGACGTACGACGGATGTGCCAGGCAGCCGATCAGGACCAGGGCAACCACCCCATGTTGTACACTCATTGTGGAATGCATTACAATTTGTAGCTTTTTGGGTATCTTCTCTCGTTTTTGGCGTGCAACGTTTGGTTGTTTAAAAGCTTAAGAATACTAAAACTAGTGGCTATCACAATAATAAATAAGAATATTCGTTGTCCGCTGCAGGGGCGTCGTCAGATATCTTTGGAATTGGTTTCTCTACATGTGCATGCTGCTGGTGGAACGTAAACGTTGAGTTAGGGGAGATGTGTGTATCTGTGAGAAAGATAGAAAGTCATTAGTGGCCAGTAGTCTCCAAGTAGCATCGGGGGTATTTAACTCTAAAGCTGTGTACTCAACAGAAGGGGAAAACAAACTGCATAAAATCATAACTATGTATGTATTTATAAAAGTATATATTAAAAATCGCTGTGAATAATTATGTTACAGTCAGGAAATTTTACTTCGATTTTAGAACTCCTCCTTCACAGCCAATTCACTTTCTGTTTTTAATTCCATTTACGTTGTCTCCCGTTGATTATCCTAGCTCATCAAAGCTGGCTGTGATATGCGTTGGGTATCCATATCACAACCACTTGATGAGGCTTAGATAATCAACATCGTACGGTTGAAGAACAGTATCTTCAACTTCATGAATGTGTTAGTAACAATATTGCACCGGATGTGTGTAGTCAGTTCGACAGCGTTCTAAGTCAGAGATGTAAGCCCAGTTGAGCCATTTTTCGGTGCTGTGGCATGCTTTTGTCCTCCGTCGTTCCGAATTCAGATCTTAGTTCGCCGCGGTTTCTTTGCAATTGCAATTCACTATAAATTTATGTGTATATTTAAGGCGGACAGAGTGTGTTTTATGATGGGCGTGTGATTATTATGTGGCGGGAAGTATTACCATGATTTGATGTACGATACATTACGCTAAGCTCATCAAAGCTGGCTGTGATATGCCGCGCAAAGCTGATATGCATTTCACAACCACTTTGAGAGCCCAGCATGAATGCGCCAATATAGTTTTATTGATTGAGGTTTCGGGATATTTGACTGCGGGAGTTTAGAATTTTCAATTTTGATTTTCATGCTCATGTAATGATATAAACAAAATCAGACGCTTGTTACCGTTTATACTTGTGGAGTTCAATTATGCATTGTTTTAATTTTTTTGGAAATTGTGCTTTTTTTTTGTCTTGAGCATCGCGTCGCTCCTCAAAGCTGGCTGTGATATGAATAGGCATAAAAAGGCAAACATTTCACAACCACTTTGAAGAATGACACAATTCTCCTACTTCGATTCGATGAGAGCCGAGGTTCAGATTCAGATGGAGACCCGTCTTCTCCTAGAGTCTTTTAGCAACGTTCTCACGGCCATGGGCTTGGAGCCTTGTACTTTTTTGCAGCCACGGTACAATAAACAAATATGAAAAAAGTACGAAAATAAATAAATGCGACGACGACTACAACACGATGATAATGATGATCATGACGACGACGACGATGGTAATGATGATTACGATGATGAGACTGCTACTGCTGATAATACGCAAATGTGGATTGCTATGAATGGCGACAGAGCGCGAGTGAATGGGACAAATTTCATACATTTCTACGCTATAGACTCGCCATCGGTTCAGCAACAACAAAATTCAACAGGCACACACAACACCAAAGAACAACGCAGAAAAAGGACGGCACGGGCAAGATGCAATGCACCCGAAATAATTATAATAAAATTGTAAACATAAATTTGGCGCCAGCCTTTGGAAATTTGACGCCAAATTTGTTTTGATTTCATTTGTGAGTTCGAGCTCGGAAATTCAAACTGATAAGGAATGCAAACGAAGAATAACGAAACGGAAGAACACGATCGAAATCAACGAAAACAATTCATCTTAAATACCGATTTGTTATCTTTTTAAGATTTGCTCAACAAGTTTAATACACTAAGATGGGAATGAAACTAAAATTTTCTATATGAAAACAAATGAAAATATTACTGTTCGCCATTTTGAGCGCCCACTGTGATGCAATGCAAGAACAGTTATACGATGAGTGTGTGGACTTATTTATGTATTAGAATGCTTTTACGGTTAACAATTGCTGCACTCTTTGCCCTCTCTTTCTCGCTCACGCGCGGTAAGCGACAGCGGACAGCTTATTAAAATTTCCGTTATAAAAATTAAATCCACCGCCGCCGCTTTTATGATCGCATGCATGTACATACATTTGCACATATGCATGTGCGTTTGTGTGCGAGAGGAAGTCGAAGTAAGGTAATGAGCGCTAAATTCAAGTTGAATAGCCATATAAAATGCGCTGAACTTGCGAGCGTGTAGGTCAAGATCAGCGGCGGCACTTTATAATATTTTGTTGGTTTTCGTAAATAGCAATTGAAGCAAGTTCGATGATCTTTTAGTGCATTTCAATAATGGGGGAATGAGCCAACAAACACGATAACAACAACAGCAATATGTACAAGCACCACAATAATTACAGCAACAACAATCAACTATATTAGAGTGTGGACGGCAAAAAGTGTGCATACATACATGACAACAACAACACCCGCTAATAAAAAATACTGTTGTGGCTGCTTCTTCTTCTGCCCTTGCGTCTTTTACAACTTCTTCGGCAAGCCAGTTGTTGTTGCTGTAATTTTCATGTTGCCTTGCTCTCTTTCATTCTTGGGCGTCGCTGCACGAGTTCGTTGGCTCTTCTCGTTTTTGTATGTGTGTGTGTTTAGAAAACTGTAAGGAAAGCAAAGTGTGTGAAAAATATGGTTAAGGTAAAAAAAAAAAATGCCAATACAGGAACAACAACACAGCTCGCTCTCTTTTCTCTGCTTGCAGTTTCGAAAAAAATTTACCGGTTTTTATGTTTTCGCAAAAAAGCTCAAGAAACAAGTCCTACAAGTTTTAAATCAAGAGAAGAGAGAGAGAGCAAAAAGGCGTGAGAACGCAATGAAGGCGCATTTAGCAGAGACCACAACCTTTTGAGGTGTGTTGCGTATACGTGCATATTGGCACACACACACACACAGCCGACGCTTCAGCTCTCGCTCTCTTTTGCTCGCTTCGCCATCTCACTCTTACTCCATGCCATTCAAGGGGATAAATTATGTATGTATATATGTATCACGAATGTGTGTGCGCGGGAATGTTGCGAGGAATTCTAAGAATTTTGCAAAAGCGACAGATGAAACGGGGCGCGGACCACACATACATATATCTATATTCCAAAACCAAACAAAAGTTTTAATAGTTCAAAAAGAAAATTCGTTATGCGTCGCTATGCAAAAACGCTAAGCCGAAAACGAAATATATCACACCAATACAAACATAGAGCAAGCAGAAAAGACGCAGAAGATAGGGAAACTGAAAGACAGCGCGTTTAGGCGTTAAAATCCATTATTTTTGCTCAAATACCAAGCGAAATGAAACACTGCTCACTAAAACACCAATTCACTATGCTTTCTCTTCACAAATTACCAACTGTTTGCATTTTAATTTGAACAACATTAGTGCAAAACGCCGACGACACCGCGCACACGAAAAAACACAACCGCACCGCCAAAGATTCGAAAACCGAATGCCGAACAACAACAAAATTGCTTTTGAAGATGGAGGTGTTTTCAGCAGAGCGAGAGCTGCAAGAGATTCTCTCGCTGAAGAGGGAGCGGGAGAGTACGAGAGCGACGAATGCGGCATAATAACAACAAAGCGGCGAGCGGCTTTCGAGCTCATGCTGTATGTAGTTGTATACCCGTTACTTAAATAGTTAATGGGGTATACGGTGATGGGCCCTCACACAAAGTATTTTTCAAACAAATACTTAGCATAAGTAGCGAAATACATAGCCGCAGGAGATAATTTACATGTTTAGATTTAAAAAATATATATATTCCTTATAAGGTTCTAGTAAAATTTTGAGTAAAAAAAGTAATATTCATCTATTTATCATATAATCTATGCATTTCAACGCTTTCAAGTATTCTGAAATATTTGCTCATGAACTAAAGGGTATATCTGAGTAGTTACGGTCCGTTAAAAGGGCGCTCTCTTGTTTTGTTTTTGTTTTGGTGTTGCCAGAAGATTTCGTACGATGTAGGATCAACATGTTATTGACACGACGCCGCCGCGACTTTTAAGCTTGGCGGAGCGAAAAGCACACAAACAAGAAGCGACGCAGAGCGGCGGTGCAAAAACACAAAAAAAAAAAAATATACATAAATGCGTTCGAGAGCGAAGGGGCGTGGCGGTGCGCAGGGGCGGGGCAGGTAGCCGGACAAACGGGACGAACAGGATGAAACCCAGACGAGTTCGGCCCAACTGCAGATTTCATGGAACTGGCCGAAGGTTGGGGATGCGCAGGCGCGCAAGTAAACAACATTCCATTCCTCGGGAAATTTCTTCTGGCCGCTCGAGAAGCGCGCCAAAAATAAAGCTCCGACCGATGTCGTTGCCACAACCATTGGGATTTTGATTTTTCAGATTTCTCGCGATTCAACGCCCTTTGAAACGGGAGCACTGGCGAGCCAACTTACTGGAGATTCGGTTTTCACTGCTGGAAGCGTGTTTCTTCAAGAACTGCAAATACACTTAAAAACACGGAAAAGGTATTTAGGTATTTGCTTTAAGTTAAATTAATATTGTCAAACTCAAACGAGTTATTTATGGATTTATACTTCTAAAACAGTCTATTTTTTCCTTATGAAATCTAAAACATTTGGGGCGCCTCTGTGACCGCAAGTGAGATTTTGGAATTCCACCACTGCATGTGGCGGATTCGACTTATGGAAGCTCGACTGCATGTATGAAAGCGGCACAACTACCCGTTTCCGGTGGGTAGTCGGTCCGCAATGTGGGCCGCCGACACCATTCCACAGCCAATTGACGTCACAAGCGACACAACAGCAACAACCTGGCACAACGCTTTCTGGGTTACAACAGCTCACGGATGTCGGAATGCATCGCAAAAGCGGAGGAAAAGCAGGAAAAGAAAGAAACCAAGAGTCACCCGAATGGCAAGTCGATTCAGGAGAGATTTGGACAATCAATCGGCTTAGTTCACAGCCCAGCGGGACTCAGTGCCACAGGTTCAACTGTACAATAATACCCAGAAGATGACGATGATAATGGGGGATGGGCGAAATGTTAATGGATTGCCCTAGGACCTGCCCTCATTCCGTTTGCCATCTTCGTCGCTTCGCTTCTGCACTTCTGCACTTGTGCATTTCCATTCCCAATACCATTTCCATTCCGATTCCCCCATCAAGTTGTGCCTCTCTGCCACACCGCCTTTCTGCCCCTTTTGCGGTGTTCGGTTGCTTTGTTGATGTTACAATTGTTGCACTTGTTGTGTGCGGCTTAGGACGTTGAACCACAGCCGGCAGAAATGCAGAACTGCACGCAACTGAGTGGCAAGTGTACAGCTGCGGTCACAGAATTAGCAATGCCTTGCGAAGGATTCCTCCAGACCGCTGTATAATTGGGTTTCTTACGCGCAAATTGGCCGACATGTCATATTTAATATCTGCAATCTAAAGATTAGGAAGCAACGGAGAAGTTCAAAGTTTTTACACTCTGACGTACCTTAGCAAAATGACGAACAAATCGAATATACACATGTACAAATATATTTGTGCCAATGTCTGCATTCTTCTTTCCAGTGCATTCTTGCAAATTGCTAACATTTTTACCGCCGTCGCTGTCGTACTCATTTATGCTCATTTGGAAAGCCAATTCGAAGGCAATGCTAGTAAAAATCAATAAACAACATTACTGTCACGAAACATTCACACATACATATGCATGTATTGGATGTCCGCTTGAAACGATGACGATGAAAGGTCACGACGAAGAATTTTTCGCCAATTGCCTGGTGGGTCGCACAGTCTGGGTCGCGAGACGTCTGACTAGACAACATGCAAATAGTAACGGTAATCATTAGACGCACACACTCGCACTTATTTGCATGCACACTCTCTCTGGCTCTGATAGTGATTCTGGTCTTGGGCCATCCCATTTCTCTCGCGGTCGCTCTCTCTTTCTCTCCCCATTTTCTATGCTGAGTTCGACGGCCTTCTTACGTAAAATCAACAACAACGCTCTGCGGTATTTCTCTTCTAATAAGCGGGCGCTTGGGGGTGGGGGGATGTGCACTCGCCGACGGAGTTGCCATATCTAGCCAGACATCAAACTCGTTTTCACTGTTTTGACTCCACATACACACACAGCAACACACGCGTGCACCAATGTGAGTGAGTGTCTTTGCAACTGTACAAGAACAATAAGTAGGGGCAGCATAAAAGCAACAACACACGGCGCAGACGCCAAGCAAACCGCTCCCCCTCCCACAGCTCCACTCAATGTTTGTCTGTCTGAAACGTCTGTTTATGTATGCTTTAGGCGTACACATGCCTGAGTATGTGTGAGTAATTTTTATTTTTCTGAATGTAAAGGAAGTGGCACGTACTGTACTACTCAACTCACCGCTGCCGCTACCGACAGCGGCCACAACAACAAGAGCAGTGACAGCCGGATCAGGCAGGGAATTCGAAAATGGAAATGGAATAAGAGCGGAGCGCGTCGCATTCGGCTGTTCCGATTCCGCATCGTTCCCAGCAGCAAAGCGGTCAACGTTCCAATGCCAACGGCACAGTGGTTGCGATTCGAAAAGTGGAGAGGAGCGAAACCGAAACTAGTGGATGATCGTGAGTAGGAGATACGTCGGATAAGATCGAAAGTAGACGGATATCCGTTTTGCAAAAATCTGTATTAATAATTTAATTTGAAATGTTTAAAAATCAATAAATTAAAAAAAACTTACTTAAACTACGAAAACTGCAATTTGTTTGTTATAGAAATGCATTTAATAAAATTTGAATGTTATTTGAGCGACGTATTGATGCTCATTTAGGATCAATCCAAATCGATCGATCCATTGTGCAGCGAGAAGAGCTATATAAAGGCGAAGTGGCTGCTGGTTTGCGTCTCCGCTGTGCAGCAGCAGACAAGACGCGTTTTCTGAGAGCCTGGAAGGAGGCAGCGGAAGGAGAGGGAGTGCCGCAATATTATAAACAGGAAATGGAATTTACCCACACTGATGCAGCCCAGTGAAGTGTGTGTCTGTGTGAATTGCTGATGAGCCGACAAACGGACGTGGTGCTTAATTGACAAATGAGCACGATAGAGACAAGGAGAGCAAAGCACACTGCCGAATGAGCGAAGGAGAGGGCGAGAGCGCGCTTACAAAGTTGATTGAAATCAATATACGTATGTATGTATACATAGCGTGCGAAAGGCCATAGACAAGTGTGCCGGTGTGTGTTTGCTAAGTCCGCTCGTGGAATGTTTGAAAAACGCGGCCAATGACGACTGTCAAACGTCGGGAAGAGCAAGAATGTTGAACTCTGGAATGCGGCTGGAAGTGGGAAGAAGTTTCTGTAAATAGATGTGAGGGGGAGGGGGGCTTTTGCACCTGCCACGCCCAGCTGCCCCTGGAATCAATTAACATGTTGCACAACTGCAGCGGCTCCTATGCATACACATATGTACTTGTGTGCCTTACGCACACAGGGATGCAATTGCAGATGGCGACGAATGTAGCGTATAGTTTTTTCTCGGAAATGAGCAATGAATGAAATTCGGTTGTTTTCAGCGTGTACTCACTCATACACACACACAGGCTCGCACACACTCGCAATTTGGAGCAAGAGAGAAAGTCTGCACGACATGCGCTCTGGCATTTGTGTGTATACAATTTGTTTACTTTTTGCGCTACAATTGGCAAATAAAACAATAGCGCAATTTTACGCAGCATTTTAGCTTACTAACCCACATTGATTGCTCCGCAAAGCGGGCAAATAATTTGTCTTCCTAATTGAAGAAAACTTAAAAAAAACTAAAAATGTCGGCAAAAAACAAGGCGCAGCTGTATTGTGCTCCAGTGTGTAAAAAGGAGATGGCCATAGAAAAAAAAAAACACATATACACACAGGAGAATTTACTGCTGCTTGCGGCGCCCACACACACATACACAAAAACACGCCTATTTAGTACAGCAACTGCGTAAATTCAATAAAAATAGTCTTCTGGAGTAAAAAAAAACTCCATTTCCTGTCTTCATTTCCTCTTTTTTCGCCGAAGGTACACAGTCACTAATTTTCAGCACTCACACTCGCGCATTTATGTACGCAAGATACGCTTTTTTGTTGGTTTCATACGGATGGTTATCAAAGTTTTTCCTTGGGCACTTACTTTGGGGTTAAGCTCTTCGTTTGTTGCACTTTTTGGCCGGTTTTCATGCCATTTTCTTTTTGGAAAATTGAAAGAGTACAATTCGTTCTGTCGCGTCTTAAATGAACAAGTGTTGCCAGACTTCGGGCAGAAGGCGGAGATGACACTATCGGGTGCCAATGAAAAGATCAGTGCTGTAAAGCGAACATAAAAAAATATCTAATAATTTTAGGTTTAAGTAATTCACATTACTTGACTAAAAATTATACATATTGATTTTTAAACAAGCAATAAAAGATTGTTATACATTTAGGTTAATCAAGAACCTATAACCCAAGGTGGTGAAAATGTCTGCTTCTATGCTATACTGTGATAGATTTAAACATGCTAAAAAATATTTATTATATTCATACTATGTCTAGCATTAATTTATGTTTTACAAATAGCTAGTTATGATAACATTGTGTGAGCATTGCTAGGTTTGGCTTGAATATAGCTAGACAGTCTTTTGCAATATTGTTTCCATTTCCCTTCATTAGGCATTTGCTGATCCGGCAACTCCACGCGACGCCATTTCAAAACAAATGCGCGGCAACGATTTTATTTCACCCCGCAACATTTGGTGAGAAGTCGCAAAATCAGTCAGATTAGTTGATAAAAATGGGAGCAAAGGTAACGAAAATGGAAGGTGAATATCTGCCGGATACGCCGACAATAAACAAAATGCGCCTGGCTAGCGAAAAGCAGAAACAAATGGAAATGACGACGCCGATTCGAGAGCAAAACAACGCTTTACTCGATCCTCGATCACCAAATGGCTGTCGGACGCCTTTAACCGTAAGTTTACATGCATTAAGTTCCTTTAAGGGTTTCATAATGATGGCGGCGTTGTAGTTCTTGCAGGCGTCAAAGCCCAGAGTTGAGGAGGAGGAGCAGCATGTGACCAGCAGTGAGAATGCCTTTTCCATGCTGAAAAAACGTTTGCTCAAGGGCTTCTCCCTGAATGATCCGCGCTCTCCTCAACTGAATCGCACTCCTCTGGTCCTCGATGAGGTTCGTTCGCTCAATCTGGATGACACCTTCGCCGATCTCTTCGTGGACACCAGAGTGGGTACAGCACAAAGGGCAGTGCCTGCCACGCCTCCCCAAGTGAATTTGGAGGAGAGCTGCGATAGCTTCGGCACACCTCCGTCTGCTTCACACAACAATAGTTCCCTGGAGATTGTTTCACTGCCCTACGATCAGGAGGAAACCTTGCCTTGCCATCATCAGCTGCTGCCGTATCAGGAGCAGGATCAGAATCAGGGTCAGGTGAAAATGGCCACCCCTACTCCAGCACAACAGGCTCATGGTGATCCCCGCTCGCCCAGCCTGGGCGTCGATCGCACACCCATCATCTTCTGCGACGACGAGGAGGACGAGGCACGCGAGGCCCAGATGCTGGAGCACATCCTGGAAACGCTAACCCTGAATCTCAGCACTGAGAGCAGCATGGCGTCCTTTGTCGCTGCCGAGGAGCAGCTACCAGAAGTGCCGGCCAACAAACATCTGGAGCGAGTACGTTTAGGTCACAAGCGTCGAGTGCCACCGCGCAAGCCCGCCAGAGCCAACAAGCCAAAGATCTACGTTGATCAGGAGGAGGATTCCCCAAGGGCCGGAGGGTCCATTACGCCCAAGACAAACAGTACTCCCCTGTCCGCCCAAAAGCGAACTCCACTCAGTTGTGTTAAGAATAAGCCGCATCTACGATCCCGTTCTATGGAAAAGGATTCTAGGAAGAATCAGATTCCGTCCGTGCAGAACTTCAACGATCAACTGCGGCTAATCTCTGGCGCCGAGGGATTCAACGGACCCGTTTACTAACACAGTTTAGTAGCTACAATTGCCTTATGCCCACCAAATCCACCAAATCATTATCTTTTCTCACAAATACATACTTTTATTACTCATCTTTTAATAAAAACCTTTTAATGGTTTTCTTGCCAGTACATTGTGCACATTATATTAATATTGATGGATGAAAGAAGCTTTTTGAGTATTATTCACTCTAGTTTGCTCACAGTTGGAAACCGAACTATTCATTCTTGATGTAACCTATTACCGAAAATCACCATTGAATCCATTAAGTCTTAAACGTTACATTTTAGTAAAACCGCCACACAAGCTCCATTTGGTTACTAAGAGTATTTCATAACACTATTAGGTACTTAACTTCATTCTTGTATATTGCATATTCTAGTATATTGCATTAACTACGCTATTTGTGAGGACCACTTCAGGTTTCAAAGGGACCGGAATACGTGACATATCAAAAATACATTTGTTCAAAGCATGGTGATTCGAGGAGTTAAAGCTCTACCGATACTGCAGCTGCAGCTTGTCCAGCAGAAGGTCAATGGCCTCCTGGTCGAGTTCCTCGTCGTTGGCCAGCACAAAGTCGAAGCCGTCGGCCAGATCATCCAGATCGCACTCGGAGGGGACATCGTCAATGCCAGCGGTGAAGGTCCATCCACGTGCACACCGGGTTTCTGGACGGGATGTCAGTCGCAAGGTGATGACCTTTTCCGCCCCGTAAGTCTCCCGGAACCACTTGATGTCGTTCTTGCGCCGCACATCGCTCACCAGAATGTAGGGCGTCTGCTGGCGACTCAGCGCCTCCTCCATGGCCACGCGACAGAAGTAGCCATAGTCCCGGGCCCGCACCTCGTCGCTCCACACGATCATGTCGCGCCGGTACTTCTCCTTGTAGGGTCCATCGCTGAGCAGGGCGTCCAGGTCCAACTGCAGCTTGCGAGCCCACTCCGACTTGATGGGCTCCGAGATTCGAACGATTCGTGAACGGGAGCCCAGTCTAAAATAAGTTTGGGTTTTAATTGTGTGAATACTTGTGTATAATTGGTCCTTTGGGTAGTTTTTGTTAAAAAGTTACTTTAAATTGGGTTTAAATCGCGCTTTTAAATAGGTATAAAACCCAATTGGCATTAGTCACGTTTCGATGCGAAAATACCATCACTTTCATCCCAACTGTGTGGACACTGGGGCCACAGCAACGCGAGAAGCGCTCTGGATAATGGGGAGTTCTACGAGGAGTTCTAGGAATGGACACCACCCACCTCCGCTGCAGCCTCTCGGATACGAAATCCTTGCCGCACTTTCGCTTGCCGCTGATCAGTACAATTTTCAGCATTTTTCGGGGCAACTTTCACTTTTGGTCGCCCACTTCTTTCACAACCGCTGCTTCTGCTGCTGCTTCTGGCCTCGATTTCCCCGAGTTCTACGCCGTGCTCATCCGATACTGCATGTGGTATTCTCCCTGACCTGCCACTTGACTCCGGCACTCCCGGCCTGTTGTCTTTATGCTAATGCTCCATTCAATCGCTGGGCTCCAAGTCGGATTTGTTTACCTTTTGCATTTGGCTGGCGGAGCATCCAGCTGGAACGCTTATCGTTATCGCAGCTTATCGTTATCGAGCGGGCGTTTTTGAATTTGGTCCAGCTGGAGTTCCTCAAATGTTCTACGGAAAGTATTGAAAAAATCTCAAATTATTGGCTTCTGTGAAACGCAGTTTTAAAATCGGAGTATCGTTTATTTTAAAGTTCGGGTTGGTTAACCCCGTAAAATATCTTTAATAGTTTTCAGCTTAACATACATTTGTTCACTTATTTAAAAGCCGTGCTTGCGTACAAATCGTCTACCCTGGATTCTAGCCCCTCGCTTTCCACCCCTTATCTGTAGTATTGCGACTGCTGCCAGTTGCCACTCGAGCCACCAGTTGGCGCTCCGGCGGAGCCTCCAATCAGGGCACCTGGGACACCAGCGGGATGGCTGGCACCTGGATTGGCAGGATGTGCGCCTACTGCCACGCCGCCCAGTGGCCCAGATCCCGGATTTCCGGCCGCGCTGCCGAAGGAGGCGAGTACGCTACTATAGTAGGAGGCATCCGCCACCGACTCGGGCTGGTGAGGCGTGCCCTTCTTCAGCGTGTGGTGCAGCGAGGCCTTGCCCTGGTGACAGTCCTGCGCATTGGCATTGTTGATCCTGGCCAAATTGGCCAGTGTGAGCGTCGAGTGGCCGCCATGGATGGCGTTTTGGGCGGCGACGGCGGATCCTGGTGGCGGAATGCTACCGATGCCCCCGACACCGCCGGCCAGTGGCAGCCGCGACAGGACGGGACGGGCAATGGAGGCGGAAACGGATAGGGGGACAGACGACTCGGAGAGCTGCAAGGGGCAAGCGGTTTTTTATAGACAGGACAGCTTAGTTTAGGAGCCATAGCTACCACTCGCCTTGCGCTGCTTGTGCAACTCCAGGCCCAGACCGACGCCGCCCAGATCCGACATTTTGGCCTGCTCCGCCATGGCTGACAGCTGCGACTGTGGCTGCAGCGGAGGCGGCTGCGGCGCCACATGTCTGTGATTGATGTGCGCCTGCAGGTCGCGTTGCGAAAGGTAGGTTCGCCGGCAGCCGGAGCTGCCGTAGCGACTGCCGCCATGCGTGCACATGAACACGGTGCCCAGACCACTCTGCTCCACGCGGAGCACCTTGTCCGTACACCGGGGACAGCTCTTGATGGGCTCAGCACGGGCGCACTTGAGGCAAAAGACATGCTTGCAGGGAATCATGCGGCCGTAGACGAGGATCGGCTTGTCGCACTGATCGCAGCAGTGGATCATCGGGTTAAGCACCTTCTCGCCGATCAGGCTCACTTTGTGGTTCCACTTAAGGCGCAGCATCGGCTCCGGAGGTCCGCGCGACAGCGTGGTGAATGTGGGCGCCTCCAGCTGCGATATGTCCGCCTCCATGTCAACTGCTCGGGCGAGAGACGGCTTTGTTATATGCATCAGGTTTGTTTGGATTCCAGGGAATCGGTTAAGCAAAGATAAATGTTTGCTATGCAAGCATAGCAGATGACCTATCTTGGGCAACCATTTCCTTGCGGAAATACTGATAACTCACTTGTTTGGCTCAGCACAGGCGGTGGCACTTGCTGGAGGACCTGTGGCTGTGGCGTCGCTGCAGTCATGTCCTCGCTGACGGGGACTGTTCCTGGAGTTGCGTGTAGCAGCGGATCCTCCAGTGCGGTGACCGTTTCCATGTCACCCTCCTTGTCCAGCTCCTGCATGACCGAATCCTCGGAGGGGTCCAGTCGTCCCGGACTGTCCTCCAGGGCTGCAGAGCTGCTGGCCGCCAGGGCTGCGGCGTCAGCGATGCTGCTGTCGTCAATTTTCTTGCCACGACCGCGTCCTCGGCCACGTCCACGCCCGCGGGCCCTGGTGCCTCGCCCTCGGCCGCGGCCGCGCTTCACTTCCTCTGTGTCCATGGTTCAGTGGTAATAGCCTAGGTTTTTGCGCCGGTTTTTACGTTTTTCGGTTTTTGTTTAGCTCCGCATTTGCGCCTGAGCAGGGTTGTCAGGTCTTCTCCCAGACATGCACGGTTTTGGGGTGACCATTGCTGCGCCTGATAACATTGGGCACTGAACGGTCCGGCAACGCAGGTCAGTTTTAAATACAATATTTTTGGATTCATTTTTTCCTCCGTTTTTAAAAGATTATTCAACTTTTTTCATTTTAATATACATAAAAAAAACAAAAAGAACTTAGTACTATTGATTATATTATTAATGATAAGCTTTTGTCCTACACGACTAACAACATAACGAAACGAAATGCACTTGTTTTAGGACGAAGAATACCAAACTTTATAACGCTCAATTTAAAAATAGAACTATAAATAAAATAAACTAATAATAATACATTACAAAAACATTACAAAATATATTTTTAATATAAAACTTTAAAGTAATCCGAACCTGAAAACTAAATCTTTATATATGTATGTATGTAAATCAGAAAAATTGAGCAAATGCTACTTCAAAATTAATAAAAACAAGGCGCAAAATTAATTTGATTTAGTAAAATGCCATTTTTAATTTTAATTAATTTGATTTAGTAAAATGCCATTTTTAATTTTAATAGGTTATATGTATTATTATTATTATTTTATTTTATTTTATTTATAGTTATATTCATATTCATAAAGCCGTTTTTTTGTATTCTTCGTCCTAAAACAAATGTGTACCGTTTTCGTTATGTTTTCAGTCGCGTTAGAAAATGTGTAATAAATTGATGAGAGTTTCAGGCAGCTAGGAATCGGGGTCATCCACCTTGGGAGCGAGATAGTATCGAATGTAGCCGTAATCCTCGATGGGATACTCCACCAGGAGTGGCACCTCGGCGGACAGGCAGATCTTGACGCGATCCGCGAGTGGCGTGGCCTTGGTGAAGGTGTTTAAGTAGCGACCGGCGAAGGACTGGGTCAGGGGTTCCTGCACCTCAATGCTCACTTCCATTTTGGTGCCCTCACTCAGCTGGATGTTGGCCGAGCCCAGATCTCCGTTGGCCGAGAACTTGATGACCTGTTTGGAGCAGGCGATCGTCAGGGACTCGTCGAACGTGCTCATGTCCCGGCAAATGCGGGCGAACTCCGTCGACGGCAACTGGATGACGCAGGAGTAGTCCGTTTCGGGAATCCCCAGGTGGTCCTCGTCCAGATTCAGGAGCTTTAGCTCGTAGTCCGCCGTGCGTTCATTGCCATCTGACTCGAAGCTTAGCGTAATCTTGTCCGGTTTGTCAACGGCCTTTATGGTGACCGCATCGTCACTATTGGCGCACTTAAGTACCTTGCCCAGGGATTTCAGATCCAAGCCCAGGGAGACATTGCGATCGCAGCGGAACTTTTCAAAACAATCTGATTGGAGGCTTAGGGCCACCAGCGAAACGTGGGAATTGTCCATTGATTGGAGCTGGAATACAAAGTAATGTGGTTAATTTACGCTTTAAAACACCTTACAAGCTGCACCACAAAAGCTTCAATCCTTCCCTTTTAAAAATAGTTATTTTCTACATCTTTAATCTTTTTTCTAGTTTTAATATTGCTATTTTAATATGGAAGTTGGAAAAATTATTTTTTTGCTGGAAGGTTACTACCATTGGGACTGTTTATAAAATCCTGTTTATGGAAAACTAAGAGATTGTGGGTTCTTCTCTTCACCTGCAGGCCAGAGTCACTGCAGTCCAGCGTTCCCTGGGCGATGATTTCCTTCAGCGCATCGATGATCTTCTTCAGCAGCAAAGTCTGACTTAATCGCGCCTCCAGCATTTTTCAAAATTTACAAGCGCAGTCCCGTTAATTTCACAATTCCCAAACAAAATGAAACTAGTCAGCTGTTGAGCGGAGAGATGCCAGATTGGCGCAGAACCTTGTTCGATTTGTGGTTCGGCTTATTGGCTAGTTCCTAAAGCGGATTTAGGTTAAGTTTCAATCAGTCAGAAAAGATCTTACAATAGCATTTGAAGTAAGACGGTAATCTGTTTTTATTTTAAGTAACTCAATTCAATTGAGCATATTCGCGTGATCTGGCAGCATCTGCAACGCTGGTTCCGGTTCCCACGGACCAGTCCATCCAGTTCCAGTTCCAGCTCGGATCCAGTCATCGTCCAATATGTTTACGCTGCACTGGCATTTATTTATAACTAATTGCTGAGCTCCGCGATGGCCGCCGCCCAGGTGGAGGAACGCGCTGCTGCGGTGGCTCCCCATGCCGATAGAAATCCGAGCGGCGACTGGCGACATTGGTGTCGCCTGTGCGCCAAGGACGACTTGCAAGGCAACATGAATGTGTTCCTCAAGAACGAAGATTCCGGCGAGGCATCCTCTATGGAACTGGCCACCGCCATTGGCAAGTACTTCTGGGTGAATGTGAGTGCGCCTCGTGGCTCCTTGGACTCACAAGCTAACCAGTTTAATTTGCCTACCCAATCAGATTACTCGAGGTGAAGAGCTGCCGGAGACGATATGCAGTGAGTGCCTGTCGCTGGTCACCTCGCTGGTGAATTTCTCGGAACGGATTACCCGCGTGCAGAAGCTTTACTGCATCCTGCAAAGCACGCCCAACCACGAGAGCCCAAATCTCCACGAACTCCGCTCTAAATTTGGTTTGCTGGACGAGGAGACGCTGACTGAGGTCCACTATGTGGATAAGAAGCCAAAGTTGGATGAACAGCTTGAGTTTCTGCCAGAGGAGTCGACTTACGAGCTGGAAAACCCACTGACGCCAGAGGAAAAGCAGGAAAAGATAGATCAGGAGCAGGATCAGCCGGCGGAGGAGCGAGAACAAGAGGAGCCAGATGAACGGGATGCCGACTACGATGCGGATGAAGATGGCGTACTGATGAACCTGTGTGATGCCTATGGCATTCAGGAGGATGACTCTTCCGCGGGTAGCTTTGGCGACTCCTCGCCGAGTCAAGAAAAAGCTGGACAGGATGCAGCAGACTCCGAAAAAAGACACCAGTGCAGTGAGTGTTTGCGAAGCTACGCCACGGCCAAAACCCTGCAGCGTCACCTGCGACAGGATCATGGTCAGACTGAGCCCCCAACCGAGCAGCTGCAATGCCCGGATTGCCCCAAGAAGTTTCGCCTACACTACCAGCTGGAAAGGCACATGAAATGGCATGTGCCCCTGCCCAAGCGGAAGCAGTACGCCTGCAGTAGTTGCGACAAGAAGTTCGCCACCAGTGCATCCGCCCAGCAGCACGAACAGTACATGCACCTGGATGAGCGGCCGAGGCCGGTGATTTGCGAACAGTGCGGCGTGGGTGTGCACTCGATGAGCGCGCTCAAGGAGCACGTCCTGAAGCACACGGACTATGCCCCTTTCGAGTGCGAGGTGTGCAAGAAGTGCTTTAAGTCGGCCAATCGCCTAAAACACCACAAGGAGACGCATGATCCGCACAAGTACATCTGCCCGGAGTGCGGCATGCAGCTGAATTCGCGGACCACTTTGAATCGCCACCGTCTGGTGCACACGGACCAGATGCAGCACAAGTGTGACTATTGCGGCCGTGAGTTCAAGCGGGCCAAGGCGCTGAAGAATCACCTCATCCTGCATACTGGACTCAAGCCTTACTCCTGCGACTTTTGCGACCGCACCTTTGCCAACGGCTCCAACTGCCGCACGCACAAGAAGAAGTCACATCCCGAGGAACTGGCTGCCCAAGAGGCGGCGGGCGGCGGCAGGTCGCACAACAGAAATATACCCAAGCTGGAGGCACTCAAGGCGTTGTAGGTTGACTGAAAGAGTACATTTAATGAGAGCTTCTAATGAGTTTCCAATTTCGCACGTAGCACCAAGAACAAGGACAACCTGTCGCCGGTGGCTACCAAACAGAGCGGGTGCTTCGCGTTCGGGAAAAAGCCAAGGCAAACCATCAAGGATACTCCGGCTTCGAATCCCGCCTCCACCCAAGATGCTCAGCCTGAACCAGCGCCTGAACCCGGAGGGGAAAGCGTCGCCCAAGCCGATCCCCCAGCTGCGGCTATACCCACGTTAGATAATATTTACAACCATATCATGATTGACTATCGCTGACCCACTCGAGTTACGGAGTGTTCTTGGCGAAAGTTCACCCTTTCAAATAGCACAAGTTTTGTTTCCAAAATCGTATTCGTGAAACCTGTTCAAAGATATAGTTGATTGTTTTCGAAACTACGGAATGCGTAGGCCGACCTAATTATTAATTTATCGTAATTGGAAAGAGAGCTTCTACGAGAAATTAAATATTTTGCTTATGAGCAAGTAATTTTCATTTTGACCATATTTTATTGGTCTTAAAGTGTTTATGGTTCTAAAATAACTCAACTGAGCGAGCGGGAAAGTGGATTTAAACGTATCCGAGGCTGGCGCATGTGCCGTGGGGTCCGGAGTCGGAATCTTAGGCGAAGCCAAGTCACCCCCATTTGAATCCTGTCCTGGTATAAAGGAATTTAGTTCAGTTGACAGCGTGCGCCTTCTCGTGTCCTGCTCTTGAAGAAAACTTTTGCCGAAAACCAGTGAATCGAAACGCTAAGGATGTGTGAAAAATCCAACCAAATATTCCCTGAATCAAAAATGGCCAAATTGGGCAGTAAACAAAGTGTGGGAAAAGTGTGAGGCGCACTTTACTCCGACGTGTGAGCGAAAAATCAAAAAAATCGATTTATCCCCCAATAAAAACAAAGTGCACTAAGTGCCCCAAAACGCCCGATGAATTTCAAATAACAAAAAGCCAAACTGGACTTCGAAGTGTGAAAATTGTGCTCGAAAACTGCTTTACGAAGGAATAGTCATTCTATTAAATATTTAGTGAAATTAGTAGGCAGTAGAAAAGGCAGGGGAGAGAAGCAAAAGAGCAGGCAAGGCAGCTGACACAAGAACCTAGCAAAGATCGAATAAAAAACACAAAGTGTAAGTAACCAAGTTTTTAAACAATTTCCTAACGTTACTAAAAGTAAAGTTTAAGTAAATTAAAAGTGCATGTGCAGCCCTGGTTCTTCACAGCGACTCCACAGCTGTTTCTGTTCCAGCTCATCCCTGGTTTAGGGGTTTCGGAATCAGTTCGCTCGCGAACCACACGAAAGAA